GGAGTAGGCCTATAGGTGGAATTTTCACATTAACTTCACGCAATATAACATGCTTTTATTATTGTAATTTTGACTTTATTCTTAAAATATTATGACGTTAATCTTATTTATTTAGATATTTTTAAATGTGGCACAAGTATAGGCTACTGAATGCAAACACAATTTTGGCACAGCAGCCCAAAAAAATAAAAAATAAAAAATAAAAAACGAACAAAAAAAGTAAAAAATAGTGAAGGGATATTTGAATTATTTGTTAATAAACTAATGTTTTCTGAGTCAATGTTGCAAAAATGAATTTGATGAACCTGACTCGCCATCTTTTCATTGGACGTGCCTTTAGAGAGAAATGCATCTTTACGGGTTACATAATGAAAGAGTTTTTGTTTTCGATTTGAATTATTTAAAAAAAATACCGGTAGTAATTAAAACATTCTAAGAATATATTTATCATGTCGGGGAAGCGCTCCTGCTCAAGACCAAGACGACAGAAAGCGCATCCTGTTTGTTTTCCTTATTTTACAAAAGCACAAGGTTTTGTTGATATTGTGAGTGCACACAAATACAAGTAGACCATTTGCAGTTCCGAATGATGTATACTCTTACCTTTATGAGCAAAAATGACGGCGTATTTTTAAGCTTCCACTGTTATTAAAAAAATGCAAGTAATCACTCTGGCGCCTCCATGTCCTGCAAAGCGCGCTTTAGCTTGCACTCTCCGCACAAACGATTGGATATGCACCTAACAGCGCTCATTTATCTTGGTTAATTGTTTAAATTAACACTGTGAAATGCATGAAGTGTTTTATATCTGTTTATTTTAGTCAAGTCGTGTTGGTTTGAGAAGGCTAAATTGATCAAACATAATGCTCAACTCACTGTCTGCCGCTGTTCCTTTAAAAATCCTTTAAAAAACAAAAACTTGAATTTAACAAACATAAAATGTTCCAAACATATTTCTAAATTAACTTAATAAAGAAACAAAAAGAAATATGACCACTTTGCCATTAAAAACCAAAACTGAACTATTTTAATAGCTGTGTAATGGGGAAGAGAGAGAGAGAAAAAAGACACGGGATCCAGTCGGACTCGGGCCGAGAATTCTCATAAGCTGTTCGACCAGGGCCACGCCCATGCAGGGCTCTATTCGTTCCCTCGTTTCAATTAAAAGTTCCCCCTAGCTCGGCGGGCCCCCAAACTGCCCGGGCCCATATGCACCTGCATACCCTGCATATACAGATGCTCCGCCACTGATTTCAAGTCATTAACAGCTGTACATTACAGTGATTTTTAGTAAGATCTGTTATATGTATCCGCCACTTCTGTTGGCTTTCTTCGATGTTCAATGGCATTGTATGTTTTCTGAAAGAAAAAAAGTTTACACTAAGCCCTCTAGTGGTTGAAGCATAAATTTACAAGTTACTTGCGGAGGAACATTGTTTTGTGACCCTTATTTACATTGCACGCGTCTGCGGTGCGTTACGGCTCCGGCAAGGTTTTGTTCCATCCTCCACACGGTGCCAACTCACACCAGGAGCATTTCAGAAGCGAAGCGACAGGATTCGCGAGACCACGTGATTTGCCTGTCTGACGTTGTTTGTCTTGATTATTGGGTTCTAACATGGCTAATGCCTAGTTCACACTACAGGTTTTTAAGCCCGATTTAAGCCCAGTTTGCAAGTTAACGAGCTCAACAACAGGTCGGGCTGTGATCGGGGAAAATCAGCTGGGGTGATCGGCGCTCGGCAATCTTTATGTGTGAACTACACAACGACGCATCAAAGAGGCTCGCTGACCCGTCGCCGACACCTCGCTGACGGCAAACAAATATCTAGCATGCCAAATATCTGGACCGGTCGACATCACGTGGTGTCAGGTGTCGTGAAGAGCTACAGCCAATGAGAGAGCAAGGCATGGGTTGAGGTCACTGGAAGAAAAACAACAGCAAACAGTTTGCAGCACTAATTTCTTCCCAACATCCATTTTCAAATAAACAACTCCTGTTTCATGTGTTATTTCGCGTCATTCCCGTTCCAATTCTCGCGCGTGTTTTCGTGACAAAACGTGGTTTGTAGAGTCGTTGGAAAGTGAACCGTACCGTGCCGTACCATGCAGTGGAAAAGCGCCAATAGAGTCACGTAGCGTGAACACCACGACTTAAAGACAGACAATCAAGTCATGTAGTCTGAACAGCACAGCGATCTGCCGACGATTAAAGCCGTGTAGTGTGAACTTAGCCTTATGCTAAGTCGAAAATGCTGTCACGAAAACACACGCGAGAATTGGAACGGGAATGACGCGAATTTGTTTATTTGAAAATGGATGTCGGGAAGAAATTAGTGTTGCAAACTGTTTGTTCAACGACAAATGTTGCTCCATTTATTGTGTCCAAACTTTTCTTTAAGCCATGTTGCTGCTGTTGTTTTTCTTCCAGTGACCTCAACCCTAGTTACGACCTCAACCCAAGTCGTCATAAAGTCATAAAGACTTTTATGCTAAATGCCGGTAAAACCTCTTGCATGGACCTACAGAATTCAGATCCTGAATGAGATGAACCGAACAGACAGATAAACACAAAGCAAATGAGTACATGGGATTATTCAAGGCCAGTTGCCTCCATTTAGAAGAGAAATGGCATGATCAGGCCGGAGAGAGAGAGAGAGAGAGAGAGAGAGAGAGAGAGAGTATCTGAAATGATTAAAGATAAGTTTCCTCTGGCCCGAACTCTCCTTGCCCCTTATTTCTCCCACAAGACCTCTGGACTCATCCGTTCCTTCCCTGTGGTGCTGAGAGCTGCTGCTGCGCCAGCTCAATAATTCAAAAACACAGATCCAGAGAGAAGACCCAGAGACTGATTATGAGTACAAAGATGCAAGAAGAGAATAGAAAAACGCATGGGAATCGAATGGTGAAATGACCAAGGTCATGGGTTCAGTTCGCAGAGAACACCTTGAATACACTGTAAAAGTGACAACCTAAATGTTGATATGTAAGTGATCAAAAGCAGTAGACAGTGAATTGTGTGAGATGATTCCCTGTGGCCAGAGAAACGCTAAGTTTCCCCCAGCTTCAGAATCCCTTCTGGCATCGGCTGTGGCCTGTTTTCTGAAACATCAGTGCTGTAGATCGGCCCATTTAAATGAGTCTGAAATAATTAACAGCAATCAGCTCACAGAGCCACCGGCAACAAAACACTCAACGAAAGCATTATCATATATGTAAATGATTCTCTCTTTCTCCTCTGTTCTTGTTGTTCTTTACTTGACCTCATTTATTTTCTTGTCTCTGCTGCTTTTTATCTAAATCTCAGTGGGTGAATCTCACGAAAGCTGTTGGGAAAGTGTTATGACCTTTGCGAATTGTTGCATTGTGACAATATTTTCATGACCGTTAAGTACATTTAAACCCCACCTCCCCAAATGTCAGTAGCAACTCATTCTCATTGAAATACTTGACTACTTTAGTGAATCCAGAAATATGTTGCCCTCTGTAAATTTTGCTGCAATTTTCAGGTTACACGCCCACAAGAGGTGCTATAAGCAATATCATCGTTTTGCAATTTTATGGGTTAATAAACAGCCTAGTGTAATGAAAAAACTTTGTTGGGTAAATTTTTGTAAAATGATATTCCGATGCTTGTAGCACGTTTCACACAAGTGCAGTGTTGAACTGTTCAGCTACTGAGCAAGTTTACTACATCAGAAAAGACAGCTGATTAAGTGATGCAAATGTCAAAATGAATTCATAGCAAATGGGTCTGTTATCTGTGCATTATTCCTAGTAGAAAAATCTGATAAATACATTTAAAAACAAGTGATGTACAAGATAATTTTCGTTATTGTATTATGCATTTTACTGAATATTGGAAGAAATGCATTTCCCCTTCAGGAACTCGAGCTGCGTCGAGATTCGCTTTGGGAACGCCCCTGCGTGACCGCGTTCTGAAGCACGTGTCAAATCAGCCCAATGGAGCAGCGATACATCATGGGCGCTCCCTGCCCACGATATCTGGCGGCGGGGGATACACACGATTTGTGTGTCGTTTGTTTGGGAGCGAAGCATGCACGGTCAGCTCTCGAGGGAGCTGATTGTCATGACTGCGAGCTGCTCTCGCTGCGCACACTCCGCTCTCGCTGCGCACGCTCCGCTCTCGCCTGGCCGTGTTTGATGAGAGCGGCCAGGCGCGCGATCCCGCTGGCAGCGGTCCCGCTGTTGCCGAGGCACAGCACAGACTATTGTCATGGGGATTGCAAGTGGATTTAGCGGAGGGATCCGAGACGGGCTCGTCCTTTTCTCGGTCCTCACCCGCTAGATCCGCGGCTGGGGCTGCTGAGCGGGAGCAGCCCCAGCCGTCAGGCTCCTCATATCGCCAGTCACAAAAACAGAGCGTTGCAACCCGTACCCCTCCGCAAAAAGAACGGGGGTCGGGGCGACGCTCTCAGTCGGGGTCTTCTAGACTGAAGACGGACCTGCGGACCGTTATTTTGTCGAAGAGGACCTCGACTAAGCGGTCCTGACGCCAACATCGTCAGGCCCCTGAGGGCAGCCCCACCTGGGGAGGAAAGGATAACACCTCAGTATACGGTGCCCGATCCTCCTCAGTGCCCTCACGGAGATTCACTGATACCCCTGCCACGCTCGGTGCTTCAGGGCTCAGTGAGCTCCAACGAGCCAAATTCCCAGCTGCCCCCTCGAGTGAGGGTGCTACAGCAGTCAGGTCGGTCGTTCCCCTCCATTGGGCTGATTTGACACGTGCTTCAGAACGCGGTCGCGCAGGGGCGTTCCCAAAGCGAATCTCGACGCAGCGTCTCATTCCCTCGGGGAACCATGGTTACATACGTAACCTAGAGACGTTAGTTGTCATAAAAAAATTATCACAATGCAAAAAATATATTATATGTCATCTATTATGGTACTCAAAAAGGGCTTTATTTTCTAATAAAAATAAATAAAAATATATTGTGTAAAAAACTAATAAATTCTTGGATTTTTCACAGACTACAGCAACTAGTCATAAGTTTGAATTTAACACACATACCTGTACTAATAAATATATACTCTATATTGTTTTGAGTAAAAATGTCTACAGTTATATTTTCTGTTTAATTAATTAATTAATTTGGTTCCTTTGGGGTGTAACATTTTTTACAATATTCTACATTCTACAAATATTCTATACTTGGAGATTCACTCAAATATTTTTGCTTTTCCATGATAAGATCCATCGTTCCTTTAAACCCTAAAATTCACTCTCTCCTTAGTCCATATTTCTGGATCCACTCTTCCGTTGTGCCTTCCTCTCCATGATCCCTCCGTTCTGTTAATCCCCTGCTGCTTTCTGCCCATCTTCTCAGCCAAACCCCAAAAGAGCGCTGTACACGCGACACACACACACACACACACACACACAGAGATCTGTGACCTGCTGTCTCAGTAAACACTGCTGCAGTCATCTGTTGAACCATAAGATTTTGTTTTCAGAGATAGAAAGAGAAAAACGCAATAGATAATTGACACACACAAAAAAATGGATAGCAGGTTGTGGAGACAGTGAGAGCAGGTAAACATATGGCAAAGAGGAGGCAGAGACAGAAACAGGGAAACGACAGGAATATTTTTGAACAGTGAGAACAAAACATGGGACAAAGGAGGGAGAAGGTGTCAATGACAGAGAGAAAAAGGGGGGCGGGGATAGTCAGCAAACGAGATACGCTCATTCGCTCACAAGACAAACTGAGTGAGAGAGAGAGAGAGTGAGAGAGAGAGAGAGAGAGAGGGAGGGAGAGAGAGAGAGAGAGAGAGAGGGAGCGCGAGCCACTATCATTCGTTCCTGACTCCACACAGGAACACACCATCCCTGGAACACGGAATCTGGCTGGGAACGGAGAAACGGGAATGCACTGGGACGAATAAACTGAGGAGAATAAATATTACCTGCCATCTGTTGGTCTTCCTCACTCATCTGTCATCCACTGTCACTTTTTCTTTTGCTTTTTCTGAGGAGAACTTCTTCAGAGCCTCCAGTGAAAACACATACATATAGAGATATATATATAACAATCCTATACATATATCAATATACAGTATGCCTGTTTTCATAAACAGCATATGGGTAAGCCGATGGATTCAGATTCTACGCTTCAGAAGCATTTCCTCCGTTGTAGGAAGCTGATCTGTTGCATTCTGAGACGTGTGCATCTGCACCGAGCATCCACATGGAGAGCGACAGACACAGAGAGGAAGCGTAGATAGGTGCTTTAGGAGCTGGATTAGGTGTGCTGTTGTCTTTTTATGTGTGTGTGTGAGCATTTTGCGTTTTTGAGTGTGAAAAAACTGAGGGGCTGTAATGCTGAGACCCTCTTTCTTTCTTTCTTTGTGTGTGTGAGTGTGTGGTAGATTTAGAGGAACAGCAAAGGAAAGAGTTGAAACTGCAGCAAAATGATAGAACTGAGAAGAAGAGGCCCCAAAGAAGCCAGACCCAGAGGAAAACGTGTTGATGTTGCTCAGAGGTTGCTCTTTTATTGCTCAGGAGACTTCACACTCATGTTTGTAGGAGTAGCAACGTTGTCTCAGATGTTTCTCCTGAAATGTCTTTGGAGAAACAAACAGAAAGTTAAACTAATATTGTGGATAGAGTATCATTTTGGTTTTGATTAGAATGAGTTTGAGTTCATACTAAAATTGCAGACTTTGGTGTATTGGTGAAAAACAGAGGACAGTTTGAGGCAATGTTGTGATCTCTGTTGAAACTCTCCTCAGGAGAAGCACCCATTTAAATGGAGACTGTGGTCTAGAAGAAAGAATGGAGCTCATTTGTGATTTTTCCTTCCTGTGGGGATTGCGAGCGATGTTTATGAGCGAGAGAGAAGCAGAGAGCGTGTGTGAACCAGAGGGAATATCTGATCAAAAGTGCCCAATCTGAGATACAGCTGCATGTTCACACGCAGAATAGAGTTTAGCAGATCAGATCAGTCCTGTTAGTTTGAAAGATTTGAAAAGAAGAGTTGTGTTTTGGCTTCCAATTAAGAGCAATCGAGTAAAAAAACAATCTGCAAATTTGCTCATTCTGGTCTAGATCGTGTTCGGATTAGCACATGCAGCTCTGAAGGGTCCAACACATTGTATTTATGACAAAACATTTTATTTTAAAAGTGTCCATGTTATGTATATTACAAACAATTATGTAAAAATAATGAAATTATTAATAAATGCCATAATCATATTTTATATATTTTATTTAACTGTATTATAATTACAATTGATCATTATATATATAATTTATATTTATGTGTAATATTTAAATTTAAATTAATATATTCAGATTTGTAACTATATATTTAGAATTAGAACTATATATTCCTATTAACATTTATGTATTCATAACTATCAGTAAAAATATTTGGGTGACAATGCGTCGAATATATTTTGACCCAAAAATGATATATAAACTACCGGTATATATCGTTATAGTTTATATTTATATATTCAGACTTGTACATTTATATGTATATACTATACTTTTAGAACTTCAATAACTCAATCAATAACTGTTACATGAACATCTTAGCAGAAAGCTTTAATCATAATCTTTTATTCAACTGAAAATGGGAGTGTATGACAATATGTTTTGGTGTTTTGTCACAGGGAACAGAACTGAGCAGAAGGAAGACACCTTGATTGTGAGAACAAAAGCATTAGGAGGACTAAAGAACAACAGATATTCCTTCGAGAGAACAGAGCGGTGTAAAACACTGAGAATGACTTGTGGAATCCCTCCAAACTCTAGCGTGAGGCATCTCTTCCTCGCCGACATCACGCATTGTTTGGTGGGACAAAGATCACGGATAAGGCTTGATTCCAACAGTGTCATTTCTTCAGGCTTCTGAATTGGAATTCTACCAAGTGTTGTTTTTTTCTCGGGCCACGAAACAGTTTGTCACATGGTGAGATCCTTGAATCTGGCGTTTTTCCAAAGGGGAGGAATCTTGCTCGCTCTCACTCTCTCCCTGTAGTGATGAGAACGGCGAGCACGTTGTGTGCTGAAGTGGCGTGGAAAGCTCTCCGTCTCATTCCCTGATGAGGGCTGCTTTCCCTGTATCAGCTTGCCATTCTTTTAGGAGCCGGACAACGAGTCAGCATTAAACCTGCTCTAAACTTGGAGACAGATCACTTTGCTCAGCAAACTTGCTTTCTTGGTTCACATTAACTAAACTCCACTGGTTAAATTTTTCCCAGTGGTGCTGTTGCATTCTGGGATACGCATTGTGGGATTACTTAAAGAGGATCATGGCTGCCTCACACCTGTTTTTGAATGTGTTTACTGCCATTTTACTTTTGAGCTACGTTTCTCAAGGTCAAAAATCCAACACTGCCAGCACAGGTGTGCAAGCCACCAATCGGACGGCTGCTCCGTCTGGTGCCCCGGAGGTCACTCTTGCGACCCCGGGGTCAGATGCAGACGAAATCCCGTCAGCTGGGAGCCGCTGTTGGGGTTACTACGATGTAATGGGCCAATGGGATCCTCCGTTTAACTGTAATGCAGGAATATACCTGTTCTGCTGTGGCTCCTGCTACTATCGATTTTGCTGCCAGTTCAAGGTTCACAGCCTGGACCAGACATCTTGTTCCAATTACGACACGCCGGTGTGGGCTAACACAGGCAAGCCGGCGGCTCCGGCGACCGACGTCCAGGAGGAACCGGATCGAGACCGCACTCACATGATTGTGTACATAATATGTGGAGTGGTGGCCATCATGGTGCTGGTTGGGATCTTCACCAAATTGGGCCTGGAAAAAAGTCAAGGAGGACAGACGGACATGACAAACTCCAGGTGAGTGAGTGTGAGGATGACTTCATTGCTCGGAGGTCGCTTGTTAATTAAGTTCTCAGATATGTCTCATTTAAGTATCAACTTTGCATTAGATGTTGCTTCTTATAATTATTCACGAGACATAAAAATTAGACAATTTTTTACATCCAGTAAAAGTACGTAGCTATAAAAATCAAACCTTCTGAGTTTTTATTGTAGACTTTTGCATCTTTCGCATCTTGGAAAATCTGAGCACTGTTTGAGATCTCTTCAGAAACTGTAGAGGAAATACATTTTAGGGGCTTTTTCTCAGCAGAAAAATCTGCTAAGTAGAAGACTTAGACCAAAATCTCTATTTTAATCATGACAACTCTCTGAAGATTTTAGCATGGTGATGGATATGACAATGTTAATGTATTTGGTCTTGGCGGAATAGATCTGCTACGCTGCTGCTGCTGAATTGCTGCTGCTGTTGGTTATTGTTGTAGTTGCTGATTATTTCTGCTGCTGCAAGCAAGTACAGGAACTTGCTACTGCCAATGCATACGGCGATACGGTGCCGTGAGTATTTAAGACATTCTGCTGCTGCACAATTAGCATATACAATAAGCCGTAGCAGATCTATACAGGTGGAGCTGGGGAAGGTGGAGGGTTTCAAAGAAACTCTGAACTAATATATAAATATAGCCAGCCATATAAATGTAAGGCAGTAAGCTCATTGGCTGCATATGCAGCATGAACCAATCAGCTTGTGCCAAGTCGTTTGACTCTCTGAATATCATCAGTTACGTTAACAACCCATCAGCCTGCGCCATCTAGAGTTTCATGACTAAACTATATATTTGTTTGTCTGTAATTGCAGACGAGCTCTGTACAACCATAGGAGAACCATTTTGAGTTCCACATAGAACTTTTTTCATTCTTAAAAATAAAGGTTCTTTACTTTCATATGGATCCTTGAAGAACCATAGAACAGCTGTTTCTTGTTGGCATGTTCTTCAGATTATTGGAAAGTTCTTCACACCGAGAGAAAAAAAAAAGGTTCTATTAGGAACTATTCACTGAAATGTTCTTTGGGGAACTCAGAATGGTTATTGCTGTGAAAATCTGAAGAACCTGTAATGTAACATCAAGATCTTTCATTTTAACCTTAAAAATCATTAATCCAGCTCAAGTTCCTTCTACAGTTTTTTAGACCCTTATATAGAACCTTATATTATTATTGATGAGACAAAAGATCTTTCAAAGATTCCCGATATTAAGGTGTTACAAAGAACCAACGATGAACTACAGTGAAGACCAAACATCTGATACCATAGAGAAAAAGCTATTTATTTTTATTTTTTAAGCCTGGAATACACTACACGTTTTTTGCCCCAATTTTCCTCCGATTTACAGTAAAGCAGAAATTGATGCTAGTTGCCGAAAGTCAGAGCCAGTCAAACATGTTTGATATTTTCAGCCAATTTAGGAACACGTTGTTTTCATTTGTCAAGGCGCACGTTTCTGTGCGAGTTTGTTGTGATCGGAACGACTTTAGTGGCCGTTTACACAACGTTTTCTGCCAAAAACGGGAAACTTTTTATGCGTTTTGCCTGTTCGTTTACATGGCAACGGCGTTTTGAGGACTGAAAACGCATATTTTTGAAAACAGGTTTCAAAGTGCAAGTTTTTGAAATGCCACCGTTATTGTTTCCGTGTAAACACCCAAAACGGGAATCTTTGAAAACGGTGACGTCATGCGCGTGCGTAGTACGTGTTAGGTATGTAGACATGCGCAGTACGTGTCGATTTTAAAGGCAAGCACGAACAAACATACACAACAATGGCGGAGTACATGGTACTGTTGTTGCTGCTCAAGAGTTTGCTAACGCTTCTTCAGCAAAGTGTGGATTTACTTCACCAATATTACAACCAACAGCGGAGACGCATCATATACAACATATAATCGTCACTTCCCTACAGGTACTGTTTACTAACAAGGTGACAGCGCCAACTACTGGCCTGGCATACGTAATACAGCGTTTTTGGCCGATTTCACGGATATGTGTAAACGCGAAACGTTTTGAAAACGTTGTCATGTATACATGAAACGTTTTTAAAAAGGCAAGGGAAAACCTTTTCCGTTTCGACTACATCATTGTCGTGTAAACGTGGCCTTAGTCTGATAGTGTATGGTCCTCAGTCATGAGTCACTCAGTTTATGATGCCCAGTGTTTAAAAAATCTGTTCAGATTTTAAAAGTCGTGTAGTTTATTCCAGCCTTTAGAATAACAGTTCAAGTCAAAAGTTGAAAAAATGTCTTAGTACTTTGTATATTCTTTAATGACAGGAGTTCTCGAGCTGCATAAACCCCACAAGTTCACATGCTCTCCAGCATAATTCAAAGAGCATATTTGTGCTTCAGTGGAAGAAAGAACCATCTGTAGAAAGAGACAAACAATCAGTGTCACAAATTTGCTTATTTAAGTAGTAACCTAGAAATAATGTAGAATCATAGCATCATAGCTTTTAAATTTTTTTTCATTCATTTTATTTAATTTTATTTCAAAATCCTAAAACATTTCAAGGGTTTTAAATCCCAGTTTTTCAGTGTGGTCTCAGACTTTGCACCCTACTGTATTTCTAAGATCATACATTCATGTTGATTTCCCAGAGCACAGCTTTTGTTTGAGTAGAGCTATACATTACTAGCTGCGATCAGTTGAAAAGAAGAACCACAATGAAACATTTATATTTTGTACTCCTCTGTTATGTGTTCTGACTATATGACGTTTGTAAAAAAAAAAAAAAAAAAAA